CGAAAAAAACGTGCAAATATAGCAAATTTGGTACGAGAAGAAAGCTCAAGAAGCGAATAATCGTTTTGTCTTTGTCACGAAACACACATACTAGCTCCCAGGCTTAAATGGGCCAATAAAAGTACAGGCATACCAGCTTCGGAATGAATGAACTCCGGCCGAGCTCAATTCTCTCCTTAAAAGACTGGGATCTAGTGGACATTGGGTGGCTGATAAAGGGGTATTAATTTCCCAGCGTGTCGCGAAGTTTTCATTTCACATAATTTCCCGCCTTGTAGCAAAACCTTTACGGCTGTTGTCAGATATTTCACTTCCGTTCACTGAAAAATTCACTTCCGTTACGTCATAATATGCTAATTACACAAAAACGTCACGGACATGCGCGACACGTTTCGAACCCCATGCGCCCAGCCGTCAGGGGAGAGAGTATCGCGGGCGCACGAAATCCCGACGGCTGGAGACTGAGCCTATATATGATTCCTGACACATTAATTTCTGATTCGATCTCTGTGAACTGGTTCTATATAAACTGAATAATCCAATGATAAAATATACTTTCAAACTTACAATATCCTAATGATAACGATGTCAAAGGAGGATTCATAACGTCATTATCATTAGCATATTGTAAGTTAGAACCACGCAACACTAAAAATGAAGGAATATTTCACCATTCCACCAATGTTCCGTTTATACTGAATTTTATTATTGTGTCAGGTGTCAGAATTTTCGCAGAGATTTTTGATATTTATATTTTCTCAAGGTTCCACAAAATGTAAATGTCAAAGATAACACCAAGATCAAGCTACAGGTTCACGGTGTTTCACAAGACGGCAAACATCAATTTAAGAAAGAACGACAGTTGTTACTCGAGAAAACGGAAAACAAAGAAACGTTCTTCATTCAGACAGAAAAATCCACCTACAATCCAGGACAAACAGGCAAGTGGTATCCTTGCAAGATTTGCTATCAATATTTTGATCATGCGATTTGATAGACGGAAGTTCAATAATGCTAAGGGGGCGATTCATTAAAATTTTGTTGGAAGATTTTTGTCCGTGCAAGAATTTTTTTAGGATTTCAGCCGCAAGCTTGTTATTTTTTTTTGTAAATTTACAGAGCTTTAGTGCAGATTTTTCAAAATTTTACCGTGCAGGAATTTGTTTTCAATATCTTCCAACCATCCCTACCTCAAGATTCTAATGGATCGCCCGCTTAGGAACCACAGTAACGAGACGCTCTTAGAGCGTTTACTCGGATTCTGGCGGAAGGTTAACTCAGGTTTTCTGACATCCCTGTGATGGATATCACTTTAGTTTTGTGTCGGTTGGTAGATCTGTAATTTCATGAATGTCATTTGATCTGGGATGCACAAAACACAATACTAGATAGACATTACGATTGGCAATAGCGAGGTGCCTGCTCTAAAAAACATCRTTTCATGTGATCGTTTAATGAAATACTCACATTTAACGTTGTCAGAAATGAATGAAATTTATCGAGCAGCAACAAGACGATATAATATCGCATGTTATACACCAAGGTCTTAACGCGTTGTTTTATAATTCTAGTTCGAATAAGAGTAATTGGAGTAAAACATGATTTAACACCGTTGGAAGGAAAGGTCAGTAATATCATTAATAGTACCTGTGAATTATATTCCAGAAGTTACGCGCAATATCGCGATAATCTACACGCTTTAAGTTCATCATGCCCTCGTCTTGCTATGTGTGATTTCAAAT